GTGCTTCATTAAAATAAAATAAGAAAACATTTATATATATCGAAAGATATATTGTTAAATGGTATATCGAAATCCGAAATTATATTTCCAATTTCAGTAGGGTTCGTCCTTGGACTAAATAAATGAGCTGTGCCAAATTATATGCAATCCGGATCACAAATGCGACCTGTACTTTGTTTAAAATTTAGCATTGATAGACATACGGATGGACGTTCGTATATTCATATATCGACTCAGGAAATGATTCTATGGATATTCTCACGTAATCTGTCCTCAAGATTCTATGGGGTTGTTCGGAAAGTCTTTTTTTTTTTGGGAAGATGACATTTTAGTTATTCGCCCATTATCGCATCTTAGTCAGCTTCGACCGTCCTTCCAGACCGTGGTGCATCTTCGACATCAAAATTACCGGATCTAAATTTTGCAAACTACATCTGACACTGGTGTACTGTTAACACGCCTTCTCCATACACATCCGTCAATACGTTTCTCGCTTGGACAGCACCCTTTCTGAAGTAAAAAAAGTAAAATATGACGAAAATGTTGATTATTACTCTCCATATTTCAAAGGGCACAAACCAAAAACTATATATATATATAGATATCTGCTCTTATCATCTATCTGTGGGTTATAATATGAATTATAAGAGCAACTTTTTATAAAACAGAAGATATTCTTTAGACTGAAAGACTTAAAATGTTTGCACCTTCATAAGCTTCCTTGGACCTCTTCAAAAAAGTTAAATTTCAAAATATGGTACTTCATGTCTCTACAACAACAGCAATCCCTTGCATTAAACTTGTTTTTTCTTTATCTCACACTTCACTTCTTTATTTTTCAATTCCATTTCATGAATCCCTTGGTTAACATTTAGTTAAAGTTTCAAAATGTCAACTTGTCGTTATTTTTTCCTTTCTTCTTTCGTGTTGGAGACACATTGAGAAATGTGAAGCGAAACTTATTTTCTGTCAAATGCAGCTAAAAACAAACCTAAAATAAATTCTGTGCGGTAGAAAATATGGTACAGAACCGTAGATGGAGAAATACCAAACAAGGTTCAATTGGTTTAGAGGCACGTCCGCAAAACGTGTTGATGCGTAACCGGTAGAGGGGGTAGTTTGGAATTGGAAGATGATGCAACAACAACAAAAAAGTAGAGCAAGAATATCCACCAGCTATTTATAGCTGTCAATAGTAAGCATCAAATAAGGTCACGGATGCATAACTATTTACTCACATACACCTAATGCTTAAAATCAATATAGGTGGACATGAGGGTGGAGTGAAGAAAACTAAATTTAAAATCGCAAATGCAGTTCAGTGGTAGTCTGATTTCAAATGGGGTAAATTTAAAAAATACTGTGCTATTTTGTATTAAAATCTACAAAAATAACTTAAACGAATTTCAAACTATTACAACTGTTTTATATTTTGATTAAAAATTATATTTCTTAATTTCCCCACACCCTGCAAATACTTCAAAAACTTAAATAGCAACTCCCCAAAACTGTAACTAACTTTCAAACCCAAATACACATTTAAGTCGAGTTACAAAATTCTAGTTTCTATGTCAACCAATAATGTTGTTTTTCCTAATGTGGGTGAACGGATGTTATTTTCCCCAACTATGCCCAGAATCCCAAATAGCTATACATGTTCTGATGTATGTATGTCTTTATTACCAAGTAAATAAACAATCAACTCCAAATCAACTTGACATAATTTTCGTTTCGGTAACATTTTCTTGTTGGCTGTGACATCCGACCGACGACCGACATCGCATAAACATGTCCCAGTAAATAAGACGACTGCGATGACGATGAAGAAGAAGCAAATGCTTGTTGATGTCGTTGCGTTTGTTTAGGTAAACACGCACCCATGTCAAGTAGAAACCCATCATACCAAAAGACGTCGTACGATATGTATTTGAGCTGCATTTTATGTGACACATATATTCTACCTGACATCTGTTTGAAGTATATTTTTCTTGTGTTTTTTTGCAAAACGTAGAAGAGTCAGGGGTTTTGACAAGTACGTACAAGGTGAAATGTTTAAAATTTAAATTTGGCTTTCTAAAGCTGTCATATAAATATGGATAGAATAGCATAACTAGATGTCTGGCCATATTAAAAACGATTTCCATATATAATTTATACATGAAATTTCGAGTATTATTTGCGCAATTGTGATTAAAAGCCCAGGTAGTGCCTGAAAAATTGCTAGTTCCATTATAATTAGAAGTAAATTAATTGGCCGCCATTGTAGTTGAGGTGCTCCAGACTTTATCTACACATATTACTACTACGGAGCAGTATAGTCAGACGTGACCGACCATACGATACCCTACACACTACCACAGAACTCTAACTTTCGGCGGATGTTTATACCTAGGCTGGGCAATATTTCGTGATAGTTGCACCCTCTTGACCGACTAGAGGCCAACAAATATTACTAATATTCTCCCTTCCCTTCTAATTACTTGGCCAAATTCCCTTCATCGTGGGTTGTGTTGTGATGTTTGACTTTCAATTGTGGCCTTTGGCCCGATCCTCTTCTCCATGTAAAAAATTCGTGTTTAAAAATTATAATGGACAGACGGACGGACACACATGTCTAGACCGACTTAGCTAGTCGAAATATGACGATATGTATACTTAAAGGTGGGTCTAGGACCAATATCTCGCGGCGTAACAAACCTTTGGGGCTGCACATTGCTATAATACCCTGACAACATAGTTGTATAGGGTATAAATATGGATGAAAACCCCCCGGTGGACAATGTAGACGCATATATTGACATAGCACCCATAAGAGGATTCCCACGAATTTTATATATGTTGAAAGTCCTCGACGATTATTTTATATTTGTTCCATAAGCCGAGCTTGTGTGCAGTTTTTCCAATTTGAAACACTATGATTTGATATGTCTTCCTCCACTTGATCTTTCCATCGAATTCGTGGCTTTCCCCTTCTGCGTGAACTCGCTTTATATGCTTTTTAAGCTGGGGCATCCTCATTTATTCGCATAACATAGCTTAGCCACAGTAGTCGCAGTCGACGCAGATCGGTCCGTAGATCTTTTGGACTAAAACTCCAAGAGCTGCCTTATCTGCTTGCGCAATTACACATGCTTCTGATCCATAAACCAGCACGGGTAGTATCAGCGTCTTGAAGAGTGTGAGTTTGGTCTGGCGAGATGTGGCCTTGTTTATTAATTGCTTACTTAGACCATAGTACCATTTGTTGGTCAACACTATTCTTCTCCGAATTTTAAATCTGATGTCATTAGTTTCATTTATGGCGGTACAAAGGTATATAAAATATTTGACTACTTCGAAGCTGCAGTTTTCAATTTCCACAGTCGGTACGAGTCTACTAGACGTCTTGCGCGTAGATACCATCAGCTTGATCTTCTCGCCATTTACTACCATACCACATTGACCGTCTACATCTCAATTTGTTGAAAGGTGGCTGTTACCGCTCGCAATGTTCGACCTATTACATCGATTCATCGGCGTAGGCGAGTAACATGTGTTGCTTGGTGTACAGAGTGGCATTTCTGTTTACCTTTGTATCTCGTATGACCTTTTCCAGCAGGAGGTTAAAAAGGTCACATGTAGAACTGTCACCTGGTATGAATCCTCGTTCGATATTAACGGGTTCCGAGAGCCCTTTTTCGACTTTAACCTCCGACCTTGTGTCAAGTAAAGGTATCCTGCATAGCTGTATTAATTTTGTTGGAATCTCGAACGCAGACATGGATTTAAACACGTCTGAACGGATAGGGCTGTCCAATGCGGTTTTATAGGCGATGAAGAAGTGAAATGTGTCGATGTGTTTTTCGTGGTTTTCATTGATCATTGGCTTCAGCCGTTCACACAGTACGCTGGATTGCACTTTATATGCGATGGAAAGAAGACTTATTTCTCTATAGTCTCCGTCTTGTCTCCATTTTTGTGCACGGGACACAGGTTGCAGAGGTTCCAATCATTGATCATGCATTTTTCTAGCCAATTTGTACTAATCACCGGTCTTTTATATAATCCTAATATTTACCTATTCCTAGAACTTATCTAAAATTTTATAAATGCAAATTCCTTCAACATCAAAATTATCATACAAATTAATTATTGTAATCTAAACCTAACACACAATTTGTAGTTTATATATCTATTACACCAGTCCACCCACATATTATTAATATAGCCTAAGGCCGCCTACTAAATCCATCATTGAGGCCTAATTTATTTCTTCTTAACATTAATCGTAGTTAACAAAAGTTGCCCGAACGCACGAAAATGCCAAACTCATCCTTTTGAAAGTCACAAACATTTCATGTGTCACCCGGACGATTTACTATCTTTATTTGTGCGAACGAAGTACCCAGATAGTCGTCTCGTTTCTGTTGTCATAACATCACATAATTCAGTCTTAATGTCTCTACTTGAATGTTTTTCATGTGCGTGTTATATATGTAGTTAGTATAGTATTCATCTCAACGATTGTCTGTCTGTCGCTGCGTTTGCTCGTTCGGACTGTCTGCTGCCGATGCCAGTGAACATGAAGAGATTATATGCTGTCATATTTATTATGAATACACGCAACTAAATCTTAAGAGGAGAAGACGAATATGTCTAAAGTATATGTGTCTGTCCGTTCGACTGTCTGTATGTCTGTCTGCCACATATAGCTAAGAGAGATGCCCCCACACTTCGATGTCAGCCACAGTTATGTATTTACACCGACAAACACTTACTTGTACTTATCCATGTATGCTTCACATTCTCTTAAAGATTGCTCCTCTTTGTAGATTGTGTACTGCGTGGGTTCCCTTGGAAATAGTGTATGTGTGAGTGCAGGTTCTTATATAAGAACAACAAAAGTGAGATTTAAGAACTTTTCATTTAAGTTTAATATGATGACTTGATGGGTGTCTTATCCCCGGAGAGCTGGTAGGGGAGCCTGTTGTCTGGTGTTTTGTTGGTAATAAATACTTGGAATGGAAGAAGATAATGGCATTAGCAGCAACGATGACAACGATGTTCAATTACCATCATTATGTTGTCACATTATCCCACTAATAGACAATATCGATGGAAATGACAACAACGAACAACAACAAAAACAACAGAACAGTAGTAAAATTGACGCCTACCAAGGAAATGTGTTGTAGGAGAAAAAAATACAAAAATGAAAAACAACATCTTTATCTGTAGCAATGATTTTTGTCATGGTTGCAGCAAGTGAAGTGTAACCAATTTAGCAATTTTTGTGGAAGATTTTTTTCTAAATCTTCATAACAAAAAAAATTAAAATTTGTATATTAAAAAATTTTTTAGTCCCAACATTTGCATTCCCTTCTGTTTAAATTTTAATTTTTCATCTTAAAAATCTGTATTGCCTACGGTTCTTCAAATTTGCCCCCAAAAATAAAAATTATGCATTATATACTCTTTGTTGTGCTGTTGCACCACCATATTACCACTTACAATGTCATTGCACTTCGACACCAGACAGAGATAGTAAAAAAACACAAAACTTTCCCGGCATTTTGTGGCATAATATATGAATAAATAAAAAACTAGGGGCTTCTGCGTCAGCCAGCTCAGCTTGGCAATTTGCCCCTTGTGAAAATGTAAATTTTTTAATATTTTAGCGGAAGTTATGCTAAATAGAAAATATGTAATATTGTTAGAAATTTTAAAATACACTAGACAAAATTAAATATTTTTTAAAATATATATTTTTTTATTTTTTCTAGGTCCTCCTGGCCCACCAGGTCCACCTGGCAAGCGGGGGAAACGTGGCAAGAAAGGTGATCCAGGCGAGAAAGGTGAACCGGTAAGTAACAAAATTGCCATTAGTAATGTTAAAATATTTGTAAAAATAAACATAATAGTAGGAGAGGTCCGCTTAGTCCTTCGATTCCATTGTAATTCCAATTATTTATTATTATTATTTTAGATCAAACGTTGAAATTTTACATATACAATGCCACAGTCCTAAGATTGTTGGTATTGAAAATGGGATTTATCGTTCCACATTTAGGTATTGCCAACTTTAGTACGTTGAGTTGTCATTGGATTGAAAATTTCCCTACCAATAATGACCCATGTTTATGAATTGACCTGTATCGGTATTTTGGGCAGCCGAATTGGCTATAAATTTATATTTTGGATTCGCCTTCGGTTGACAATTTTCCTACCAAAAATAATCAATGTTTTTTGGTATAGACCTCATATAATATTACATGTAGTAATATATACATTTTTGGAAACATCTGTTGGCAGATTCATTTTGAATTTGGACACGATTTTACTGAAAATTTCCTAATCAAAGATTAGGAAAATTTAATCTTTGATTAGGACGTAGCATTGACCGACGTATGTCGTAGGTATACTATAAGATGGGGCTATGGCCAATGTTTCGAGTGCCTACAAATTCAAACATAGAAGTGAAGGTTATAAAACCTATATTCGATATTTGGTCAGTAGAGGATAATTCAAAAAGGAAATTATGGAATTTTATACTGTCAAACCAAATCAAAATCAGTTGAGTTATTGAGCAAAAACTTTAATTTTCAAAGTATGTGGCTCTATCGAAACAAGTATTTCATTCATAATCAACTATAAAAAAACTTGACACACTCCATTTCTTTTGTTGAAGCAATGCACGTTTTTTACGTTTCACAACAAACGGACATATCTGAATCTGAAGCAATATTAGGTTAGGGAAAAAGAAAGCCATTATTATTTTTATGTTTTGTGCAAATTGCCGATTTTTAGTGATGTTACGACTGCTAAAATGCGGGTTAATTTCGGTCATTTCTATGATTTTATCGACATTTTCGACGACTGGCCCACCTGTGCGTGGTGCATCTTTAACATCAAAAATTCCTTGGCTTGCATTTTCGCCTTTGTCAGAGAAAAACTGTAAAATGTACCGAATTTTGTCTTTGTTCACTTCCATTTTTAACACCCTGTAACTCACAACTGTGCATTCAGTTCAGCAAACAAAAAACAGCAAAATATTTTTTGCTTCCACATTTCGCAGTAAAAAAAATTGAAATTGTTTGATCGATACTTTACGAGAAATCTATCAGTATAGTCATCTGCTGAAAAAGTAATGGATTTCTTTTTCCCCAACCTAATGTTTTCGGAAACGATTTTCCGAGCAGTAATTGAATCCTGCAAGAACCAAGTGTTATATGTGATCAAAAGTCTAATGCAATTATTTGAAATATTGTGAATTGTCACAAAAATATTTTGAAAATAATGTAGAATAAAAGTATATAGACCCAATTTTATTCAAATAAGAAAGTATATATCCTTTCAATAACAATGATTGTTCATCAAATGCCATTCAGGGCAAATATAATGGATGTAGAATTTTCCGATTGTTTTCTATACAAAAAATTTATATTTTCGTTTTTTTTATTCCGAAAACACTTGTTTTCCGATTTTTTTCTATACCGAATAAAATGATTTCCGAATTTTTTATGCAGATTTTAGGTTTGCTTCCAATATTTTTCTATTCTGAATTTGTTTGAAATTCGAAAAATCTATTTTTATGCGAATATTTTTTGTGCGAATTTTATTCTCACCAGAAGTAAAAGATGAACATTTTACTGGACCGAATAATGTTTGCCATAGGTGTCAAAGATCTTAAAAAAATATGAATTTATTTTGTATTATTTCAAAAGTCCATCCTTTTAAACATCTTCTTTAATTATTTAATAAACTTTTTTTATTATTCCAGGGCATGAATGGCATCAATGGCGAAAAGGGTGCTCCAGGAAGACCGGGTGAGAAAGGCTCCAAAGGAGATGTTGGTCATCCGGGTATTGATGTTTTCCAGACAGTTAAGGTAAGTTAATAATGTTCACATTTGGATATTTTACAACAATAATAAAAATGAAATGTGTATATATAATACATATTATTATATATTATATTATTATATAATGCATATTATTTATAATACAAAATATGTGATTCTAACAATAAATATATTCCCTTCCTCCCCAATCCTTTATTTTATACATCATCCAAATACTAGGGCCTTAAGAGATCTGTAACAACGTTACATGGCGGTACTTTAGGCTATGCGGAAATTGTTGCAGTCAAGGTATTAAAAACAAAAAATACAAAATTTTGAAACACTTCTTAAAAAGTGTTTTTTGGTGTCTTGTAGTTTGAAGATGATTATTTTTTAAAGTAGAAAATTTGGTCGTTTGATTTTTTTCTTCGTTACTGAATTTTATTTTATTTTTCGTATGTAGATTTTTTGTAGAATTTTCGTTTCTAATGAGTATAATTGAGGTAAGATAATAAATAACACGGTTTCTTTACACTACACAAGTTTTACTATTTTTGAAATTTCCTTTTGAGTTTTTAATTTTTTCAAATAAGATTCTTATATTTCCTCTAAATTTTTATTTTATGATCTTTAAACTTATTATCTAAATAAAACTTTCCACGATAGGAGTCTTTTGATGATTATCAAAAAATTTCATACAGGCGTTTCAGACATAAATTGATTTTTTATGTATATTGGCCATTTTTAATAGAATCTTCTTTTATGCACCTTTTTCTTGAATTGTATAAATAATTCCTATAAAAACATTTTCCAGACAATGCAAAAATTATCGGCAAATATTTTCGTTTTCCCCAATTTTTACATTTTTAAATAATCCCAAATTTGAAACATTGTTATTAAATCCTAGCCAAATGTGAGATTAAAAACTTATGATACATTTTATTAAAAAATAATTCATTTTTCTTTAAATTTCCTCTTTTAAAACAATCACCTTTTCCTTAAACAAATGAGAACAACTTTTTGTAATTTTCTCCCCGAAGATTAGCTCTTAATGAAATTTGATAATATTTTGGAAGTAAATTAAATAAGCAAACAGAAATTACCAAATAATTACCTTTATTATATTTGTTCAAATGAATGTTAAAATAATTTGCCTTCCTTCTCAAAAAAAAAAAAAAAAAAAAACAAACGAAGAAAGAAAAACAATTGAAAAACTTTTTTTGTTGCCTTGGGCCTGAAGAGTTTACACTTCACAACTAAATACTCTGTGGAGTATCTGAAGCCTAATAGCTCCCACCGGAGAATGTTAAAAGTCTGTTATTAAAATAAAGTCTAAAAAACTTTTAAAAAAATGTTTCGCCAAGAAAAATATGAAAATTATTAAACTTGGACCAAAGGCACCACAAAACATGTTGGTCCAAAAAAATAAACACCGGGTGTTATGAGCAAGTGGGTGTGTTACCCCACAGCAACACTTCATTCATTCAGTCATGCAGTTCAGGCTCAAAAGAATATACAAAAACAAATAAAATAGCCAACAACTTTTTGGTAATTTTATTATTTTCTCTCTGCTGCTGTTTTTTTTTTTTTCTTTTTGAGGTTTCTCTTTGATATTCTTTTACTTTTTTGTATCTTCAGATGTAAAGTTTATAATAATTTTTTTATTACTCAAAGAAAATAGGAAAGAAGCAACAACGTGTTAAAGAAACATTAACTTTTCTCCCCCAAGAAAAACACACACCCACACCCTGAAGACTAGACACAACAATGTGGTTGTTATAAACAAAAACCAAACATTTGTCCATAACAAAAAAATAAAATAAAAAATAGAAACAACAAAGTAATTTTGTGGTCAAAATTTATGGCCAAGAATTGAGGGACCAAACAAAGGGGTAGACCTAAAGGGAAGTTGTTTTTAGTCTTCTTCCTTATTTTTGCTCTTCTCGTCTTCTCATTGTTGATAATGTTAAAATAATGAAAATTTTATATTGCATTAAATTGAAAAATACAAATGATATGCCAAAATTAATTTAATTTAGAGAAACCAAAAAGGAAAATGAGGGAACCGAAGAGAAGTGGAATTTTATAAAAGGGAGTTGAAACTGCAATATTAAAAAAGTAATAAAAATGGGACCAATATACAGTTGGGGCCAAAACATATGCAACTGATATTGATTATGAAAAATATCAAGTTGACCCATTTTTTAACTTCAAATAAAGGAATTACTACTTATTTCCACATAGTAAATTTCAGTTGCATATGTTTAGACCACCACTCTATATACCCAAGTGATAAGTTATAAATTAAACACCTATAGAACATCGATTATTTATAACAAAATAAATATGGAAGGGATTTATGTTAAAATGACTTCAAGAAATGGTGATTAATAGAATTAAATTATTTATAGAAGACCTATACCTGACCGTTTTTAAATATGCCACATTTAGAATGCCTCATTGGAGACTTTAAAAACACCTGTTTTTGGAGGACATGATTAGAAAATACTTAGAAGACTTTCAGAATTGCTATTCTATGGAAACATGAAGTTTTTTTCGTCAATACTCTTAAGGACGTTTGTTATAGAAGACCTTCAGAAGGTCCTTAGAGTTGTTTAGAAGATGTGCTTCTTAGAAGATAATTCCCTATATTTTTAATATTTTTAATAGAATAAAAGACCCTTTAATTAATTTATTTAATTAATACAGTATAAGGTAATTTGTTATATTTAAGGTCCTCAGAATATCTATATGTAACAGCCTTCTTCTTTTAGAAGACAAATCTTCAGAAGGACTTTAAAAGATCTGTTTTTAGAGGAGGTAGTTAGAAGAGACTTAGAAAGTACTTACACGATCTTGAGATGACTTTAAGAAGGTATATTTTATAAAAAAATATGTGAGATTTTATTTCTTTAAGACCTCAAAGGATTTTTATTATCGAAGACCTTCAGAATATATTTAACGAGTTTATATCTATAGAAACTCTTACCCCGTACATGTTGGTATTGTGGAGAGTTTTGGCCAAGTTCTTCAGGCATGGAGGCTGTTATTCGATATTTCGGGATACATTGGGTTATCAAAACACCGCAGTGTTCGTCGGAGACATCATAAATTATGAATCACTCATTTTCTGCAAAGAGGCATAAATAAAAGAACTTAAAGTCTCATATAGTGAACAATTTGGTATCAGTAACATACAAACCAGTGACCGGAGCAGTATAGTCGGACGGGACCATACGATACCCTAAACAACCTCCACGATAATCTAACTTTCTGCTGTTCTATATTATGAGCTTGTGCAATATTTCGCTATATTTGCACCCTCTTCCTTACACTGACATATTTTCCGTTTTAGTAATATTCAGTACAGACCTTCTAATGTCCAGATTTCTGTTGTGATGTTCGACTTATAATTGTAGCCCAAAGATCGACTCGAATACGTAAGCACCTGTAAGGTCAACCACTTCTCTTGGATATACTATGGGACGGGCACCCATCTATTGATCTACTCGGCTAGTCGAGATATGATCTGTATACTTAAAGGTGGGTGTAGGACCAATGTTTCGCGGTGTTACAAACTCTTGGGGCTGCATTAACCTATAATACCCTGACAACATAGTTTTATAGGGTATAATCACGTCTTTATTTATGTGGGTCCAGCAGCAAACGAGGAATGCAGAATAAAATTATATGTAGATTTACCCATCTCCATATATCTGTGAATCACGATGGAGATCGCAATATAAAAGATAGAGCTTTGAAATTTTGCTCTGACTCCTAGGATGTTTGGTATATTTTGGTATAGCTTCATATAACGATAAAGCACAATTTTCGGTATTCAGAAGGCACAGATTTTTGGAGGCTGGCATATTCTTCGTATAAAGACCCCGCCAAATTTTCTTTATTTTCAGGGATCTAGCCGCATTTTCAGCCGAAAAGGCTGTAATTTGACATTTCGGAGTTTTGGCACCAATTTTCAACGGAAAACACCATACCAGGTTTATGGAGCTCGGGGTTTTGGAGGCTGAATATAATCACACAGTCCCCATACATAGGTCCCGCCCAATTTTCGGTATTTTGAGTGTTTCAGCAGAATTTTTCAATTAAATAGGCTTTACTTTGATATTTTGGATTTTTCAAGACTGGTATAAATCTGTACAGAAAATGATTCCTATAAGTAAAAGTATTGAATTTTAAATTTACGGTATTCCAGGTCCTTTGTCAATAATATACTGCTCCCCAGAAAATGTTCAATGTAGGTCAATGTTTGTACATACATACAAGGTCCTAAATTTCCGAGCCTAGCTTTCCAACCTCAGTGTCAGTGTTTACATTTTTAATATTCATAGTTATTTTTAAATATTTTGCTCAAATTGTTTAGCTTGAGGTCAGAGGAAAATAAAAAAATGGTTTTAATTGAAATGAATTTAATTTCTCCAATATTTCGATTCTATGATTATTATCAGAGTGTGTCTTTAAAAAAGGTAATAGAAATTCCAATATCCATTAAAAAAATGTGGCTTAATATTCGAATAAATAAAAAATAAAATTTCGATACATAAATATAAGCAGTTTATTATTTCTTCATATCTCTACATCAACAAAAATTCCTACCCAAGTTTAAAACCTATCCTTACCTCGTCTATTCCTTATCTTCCTTATCTCTCCTTTAATTTTATTTAATATTAAATTTATTTTTATTCTATTTTCTTTTCTTAAATTATTTTATCGCTATAAATTTTTTTGTTTTTCTTTTGTCTGTTTTTATGTTTGTTGATAATTATAATTTCTGTTGGGGTACAATTGGCATATAAATAACACAACACTTAATTAACACTCTTAACAACAAAAAAGGGTTTACAAGAAGCCGGTGTTAATGTTTCAACGGCAACTGTAATACAATTGAAGGTAAGTTGATGTAGATTACAATTAGAAAGAGATATATGGGCAGTTGAAGAAATGGATATAAGGACTATTCATAATTATATAAATAATTTTTTATATGCAAATAAAATCGGGAATATAGATAACACTGTGCAGCGCTCAAATCCCTTACCAATTGAGTTTTAATTTGTTCGATTTTGGGTGGATTTTAAATTAATACGTAGTCGAATCCAATCCAAACTGGGTTTTTAGAAGAGTTTTTTTATTGATCTTATTAAAGGTTTGAAACTCCACTCAAATCGAATTTAAGCCAGGTTCAAGCCAAAACCTTAGCTAATAATTCAAACCCCAGCTAGGGGTTTTCTTCTACCATCGTAGGTTTTCCGATATTGCCGGTCCCGATTGATTCAAAATTTGCATGTTGAAAAATGTGTCACAGTATAATTTTTACACTGATTTATTTCATATATTTAAATATTAGAGATGTCTAAATAAAAAAAAATACATTCGGACTTCCATAAATCCATGTTCCTCATATGTACACCTTCTACAATGATTTGATTAATATATTTATATATGAGAGATGCTCCAACAAAATTGTAGTCGAACTTGTCAATCATGTCATCATACTTATATGTGTAGAATTTTTAAGTAGAATTTTCTTCAAGTCTAAGTACAGTAGCACTAAGGAGGCATTTTGATATCAATTCCCCGACATGAAGTCCTCATAAGTCGAAGTATTTTTCGGGCTAATTGTGGTAAGAGTTATGAAAGTTCTACTGTCATTTTTAGTGTTCCGATCAATGAAACAATTTTAAAGTTGAGTAAATTATTGAAAAAATTATACTTAGCTTATATCCTTTTTCAACTGTTATATCTCGCCTGCATGCTATATTTATATGGATAATATTTTTTATTGTTTTTGTTTTCTTTTTGGCTTTTAATGATTGCTTTTTCAAAATTTTGTTGTAGATGGACTTGCGATTTATTTTTTATGATCTTAACATATTTTAAATATTAACCGATATGAATTTCTTTAGGGTGAACCTGGTGAGCCCGGTCCTCCAGGACCACCAGGACCTCCAGGTGACGTTGGTCAACCCGGCCTAAATGGTGAACGAGGACCACCCGGTGAAACTGGACCAGCTGGTCCAGCCGGTCCTCCCGGAGAACCTGGACCAGTGGGACCTCCCGGTCCACCTGGTCCTGCTGGACTTAAGGTAAGTGATTTTTAATTAAAAAATGATAATTTTTATTAAGAGGGATTTTATGGATAAATCTCTTGAAAATTGTATTTAATAAATAAAAGAAACTTTTGAATTCTTACAAGGATCTGTATTGAATCTTCTTCGAAATTCTTTATTCAGAGTAATGTTCATTGCCAATCCCAGGAGTAACAGAGTTTTCTTATTGTTTGATCGATCCCCTATTAGTTTCCTCTTAAATGTCCCACAGCTGTCCTTCTTAATGAAAATTCCTTAAAATATTTTTGCATTTAAAATGACCCTGATGCTATGTGCCCATTCCTCCTTGTTAAATTACACCTCTATTGTTTTGAAGAGACATTTTTTGTAATTCTCTCAAAAAAATAAACATTATGTCAAACTATGGCAATGTATTGTGCAAAAAAGGCAAAAACAAAACAAATGGAAATAAGGACACAACAAAACAAAAGATGGTCCAACAAAAAACTCAAACACCAAAATAAATGGCCGACCCTTTTTCAACTGTCATGCTTTCTGGTTTGTTACCTACTTTCCTATCCTACCCCGGCCGAGTGTATAGCCATCAGTTAGTTACACGTGTGTTTGTGTTTTGTCTACGGCTATGCCTTTTCACATTATTTACCTTTATCTACCTTTTCTCTGTGCTGTTGTTGTGTACATTTGTAAGGATATTTACATGTCCTTAGACAAATACACTGACACTCTTGTTTTTTGTTGGATTCGAATATTTACATTGTCTTTTCTATACAAATATTTAACACAAAAAATTGACTTGTCCTTTTTGTTCTCCTTTCTTCCTCTTTTATTTATTTGCTGCGGCTCCTACAGGGTGACAAAGGTGACCGTGGCGATCGTGGCCTTACCACAACAATCAATGGTGATGAATTTCCAACAGGCATTATTGAGGGTCCACCCGGACCTCCGGGACCACCAGGTAAGACATAGTCTAAGGAAACACACAGAAAACAAAACAAATAACAGCAGAGAGCTATTAACCCTGTCTGGTTTCAAGTAGATTTGAAGAGGATTTGTCTCGCAAAAAGGAAACTAAAACACAGAGGCCTGAACTGGTCATTAACTTTGAGGAACATAAATTAGCAGGATATAATAAACATGAAGGCAACAAAAATACTTTGTTATTGTTGTAATTCTTGAGAACCTTTTCAAATCAACACATGTCTAATGAAGTGAATTGATTGGGAAAATAAGAAGTTAATGATGATGGGGAAATAAGGGGCGTTCCTTAATGCGGGTATCACACCGATATAAACAACAAAGAGAAAGGCATAAAATGAAATTGTTTCCCATGGGAACTGTGATTTTTTATTTAGAAAAAAAAAAACTCATTGAGATCTGACAATTATTTCTATAGAACTACGAATACGATAGTAAGAACTGACGGCATTGATAGGTAATATGTACGACCTAAGGATATAAAAAATAGCGAAGAAATGTCCTTGGTTATTATTGAAGATATTTCCTACTGGAAAAATGTTTTCTTCTAAAATCCATTCTCTGAACTTTTTTAATTAAAAGAGTTTTTTTTATTCCCATGGAGTTCGGAGAATTTAAACTACAGAATAGTGCCCTTACTATGCATTTTTTCTATAGGAAAACCTAGACCGCAGTTTACAGAAGATTTTTTCAAAACAATCCTAGACACCAGTGCTACTGAGTTTTTTTTTTCTTTAGTAAACATCTCTGTCCTCAGTAATGCTTCCTTTTCTATAAAAAAAAATCTCAGACCTCTCAAAACTCAGATAATTTTTTTTTGGATAATTTTCTATAAAAAAATTACAGAACTCAATTCTCCCGAGGATTATTTTCTGCAAAAAATCGCAGACCTCTATTCTACAAAAGATTTTCTACAGAAAAAAAATCGAGCAGACCTCAGTTCACACTGAGGGCAATTTTTTGCTATAGAAACAAATCGCAAAAACCTCAGTTTACATTGAAAAAGTAGACGATTTTACCTCAGTTCCCGTTGAGGGCATTTTTTCTACATAAAAATAATCCTCTACTTCAATTTGTTTTCTATAGAAAAAATTCGTCAAAACTGTGAACCGAGGGTAATTTCTTTAGAAAAAAATTAGTGCAGGCCTTAGTTCATACTGAGGAAATTTTTTTTCCAAAAAAAAATCGTCAGTTGCAACTGAGGACAAATTTTTCTATAGACCTCAGTTTCCGCTCAGAGCAATCTTTTTTTCAATAGAACAAAATTCGTGCAAACCATAGATCTTGTTGACGCCAATTTTTTCTACACTGAGGGCAGGATTTTTTCTGTAAAAAAATATCACACTTCAGTTCTACTGAGGGCTATCTTTCTATAAAAATTTAGTCCTCGGTTCTACTAAGTATTATTTTTCTAAAAAAAAATCTCAGTCCTCAGTTATCTTAAAGATTTTTTTCTGAAAAAATCAGACGGAAGATTTCTTCTATAGTAAAAAATTCATACATAACTAAGTTGCCACTGAGTACAATTTTTTCTATAGAAATCGTGCAGTCCTCAGTTCGCACTGAGGGCAATTTTTTCTATAAAAAAAATCGATCAGATTTCAGTTCAAACTGAGGGCAATTTTTTTTTATAGAAAAAAATCGATCATACCTCAGTTGCCAGCGATGACAATGTTTTCTATAGAAAACAATTCGTGCAGACTTCAGTTGCCACAGAGGGCAGGTAAACCTCAGTTTATACTAAAGTAATTCATGCCGACCTCTGTCCACGCTGAGGCCAATTTTTGTCTATAAAAAAATGGACAGACCTGAGGTCACACTTAGGAAAATTTTTTATATAAAAAAAATCGGGAAGATCTCAGTTCACACAGAAAAAAATCACTTTTCACAGAAGGTAATTTTTCCTTTAGAGAAAATTCGGTCAGACCACTTTTCCCATAGGGAAAATCTCAGTATTTGGTTTTTTTACAGAAGAAAATATCAGACCTAGTCCTATTTTTATGGAATAGATTGGCTTCACATTTATTTTTTTTTCTACGCTCAGACCTCACTAAATATTGTCCTTAAGAATTTTTTCTCAGACCCCAAATCAATTTTGCTTAGACTTAAGTCTATTTTTGAATGAAAAAATCCTCAGCCAAGATTTTTCATAGAACAAAAATCTTTAGATCTGATTTTCTATACGAAAAAGTCTCGAAACCTTAGACCTAATTTTCTTGTTTCTCAAAAAGATAAAATTCCTCTGACCTGAGTTCTCGTTTCTTACAGAAAAACATCCAAGGCCTCAGTTCTTTTATCTATATAAAAAGTAGAGGATTGAGGATTTTTTATTTTATTTTAAAAATCTCAAACCCCAGTTATAGTTTTTTCTCACAAATTCTCAGACTTGAAACCTATTTTTTTTCTATATTCTAGTTTCAAAAGAAAAAATCTTTTTTCGGAAAAGGATTCAGACCTCAGTTCTATAGAAAAAAATATCAGTCTTATATTATATTTATTTCTATAAAGAATGTCTCATACTTGACCGCTATTTTTTTGCTATACAAAAAGTTTTCTAATATCGGTTCTATTTTTTCGGTAGATGAAATTTCCAAATCTGTGTTAATTTTTATAAAAATATAAAAATTCTGTAATGAATAAATTGTCCTCAGCGGAACTGGGATCTTCCACATTTCTTCCTATATATTAAGCCTTTGTATGTTATCTACAAAAAAAAAACCCTCAATGGAACTCCAAAGTAAATTTCAGTATTTTTCTCTGCATAATAAACGAACTCAATTCCGATTCTAAATCGTCTATGAAATATTTCAATTAAATTTATTTACGATAACTTCTTTATTGTAAACCATAAATTCTGGCTCAAATTTATTATGTAATCTTGGAAGAAATTGTTTTCTTCACTCCCCGTTTTTATTGCTCGCCTTAAAATGGGGAAGCCATTTACCCCCAAAAGAACCATTAACACCGATTTCCAATCAAATTTAACCCGACCTTTGGTAATAAATTTCATATTTTATTAATGTGTCAACAGAATAGAACAGAACAGAACTCATGTGTTACATATCATTGAGGGTACCAAACGGCACATAAATCGTGGGCCTAAGTATCTGTATTTTGTCACAATATTTTGGAGGCGGTGAGGGGAGATTCTGTTTTTATTATGTGTTAAATGTTCTCTCACTCCCACTTCCCTAAATATTGTATACAAATGGAACCGAAATAAAGTATGTTCTTTAGCGGAGTTAAGCTGAGAATTGACATTTTGCTTATTTTTTCATTGCTTCGATGGTAACCAAAGAAAAACAATTAAAAATTGTGAGGGCTGTGAAACGACAACAACAACAAAAACAGAAGAAAACATTGTTCCATTGATAAATAATGGCATCCTTCCGTAATAATATCAACGAAATGAAGTGGCGTTTCATATACTCCATTCCGAGGCAATTTTATTTCTCCTACTCCTCCTCCTTTTTCTGAATTTTTTAGTTTGTTGTTGTTTAGCCGAAAAGAGAAAAAAACAATAAAAAACAGCAGTTTTATCGAAAAGAAAATAAACATTTTTTCCAAAGTGCTAACGGAGTGTCTAAACACCGAAACTTAGAACTGAAACGCCACCAAACTTCCATTCACAGCAAAGCATCATAAATTGTTCCCCACCCGCGATAACCAATGGCTCAACCAAAAAAAAAATGGAAAAGAAAAACAAACATTTTGTTTAAGAAAATGTGTGAAAACACATTTGGAAAGTCTCGTGTCGTGCGTGCATGTTTTAGATCTTGCCGTGTAGATACCGACAAGAGATGAGACATTTGTTGTTGTTTTTGTTTGGTGTTTATTTGCTTATTTTCTTTTACTTACGGCTTCTACTTCTAGTCGGTGTTGTGTTAATGTTTTCATGTCAGTTTAGTATATTTTCCTTTTGCTAGAGATTTTCCATTTGGAAAATTGTGCAGTTCACTTTCCAGAGTTTCCTTAATTACGTAACAAAAAAAAATCATGGGTCCATTATCAAAAGAAGTTAATTATGGCCCACGAAATTTCGATTCCCCTGAAATCTCAGCACTCTTCCATTAATCTTTTCCAAGTAACCATTTCAAGAATTTGACATTTGTCCATCACCTAGATTGTCGCAAAACCCATTAACATTGTATTAACAATGCCAATCGACCTAACCAGCCAGCCAGCTGCCCGGTAGTAAGTAATCAATACAACAATATTTAGTAGATGGCTCAACAACAACAACAGCAATAATCCACAACATTAACTACACTATACACAAACAACAACAATAGCAGGACTAACATAATGTCCAGCACTTATCCCTTTACCCCTATACTCCTTATCGTCCTTGTGAGTGTGTATGTGCGTCTGTGTAATTTAAACAACACTCAAGTGAGTTAATTAAGAAGAGCGAATGTTTGTCCTTTTTGGTCCAACATTTACACAACAAAAGGACACCCAGCGGGCTAATGGACAAGCATGACAACAAAAACAACATAACTAATGAACATAAATGGAAAGGAGAGCGAAAACAAAAACAGTAACAAAAAGCGGTGTGGAATACCTTTCTACACCAGGTGCCTATAAAAACTTACTATAAAAAATGTCGGATGATGTTTCGATGTAAAAAAATTTACTCAGTAGGACTATCTTCTATAAAAATAGGGCTGAGGTCCAAGAATTTTTTCTATAGAAAAAATAGGATAAATTTTGGGAAATTTAAGAAAAAAACTAACGTTTAAAGATTTTTATGAAGAAAATTGACTGTTGTCAATGATTTTTGCTGATATTTTTTTGGATTTGGACTGATATTTAAGGCATTATTTATAAGACATATAGAATTGGGGGGAAAATTAGCACTAGTCCGAAGAATTTATGAAAAACAAAACTGAGGTCTTCTTTAAAAAATACAGTTTTCAGATATTTAAATTTTCCATACAAATATATATACATTATATCTGCGTTCCTATAAAAACCAGA